AGGTTGGATGGGGCTTGGAGCAGCCTGGGCTGGTGGGAGGTGTCCCTGCCCATGCAGGGGGTTGGATCCAGATGATCTTTCAGGTTCCCCCCAACCCAACCCATCCCAGGACTCATTTTATGACCTGCTTTCCCCCACAGCCCGCAAGAAGCAAGAGCACCCACCACTGGCCCAGGCCACAGGGGTGAACACCATCTACTCCCAGGTGCAGAGGGTGGAGGTGAGCCAGGACCCCCAGGGACCCCACCAGCCCAAGACCACAAGGGGAAAAAAAAACCACCCTTCTTCACTGCTGGAAATGCTCCTTTAGCCACGGGACCCCCAGTGTTGCAGTGGGCAGGAGTGGGGGGCACGACCCTGCTGGGGTGTCTTGGGTGCGGGTCTTGGAGAGCAGCAGCACCCAAAGCCCCATGGGGGGGGGGCTGGGTGCCTCCTCACTGGCCTGGGGACCTCTCTGCCATGGGATTTGGCACTGGGTGTCACCACAGCCCCCAGAGGGGCTGAACTTGTGTCTGGTGGGGACACACTGGGGTGGCCATGGGCTCCCTGAGGTCACCCATCCCTGTGGTTCTTGGCTGCCATTCATTTAGGGATCTCTGGGAAGAAAAGGTGGGTGCTGCAACTTCCCCAGCATCCCAGTGAAGGACAGACTGTGTGTTGCCCCCTCACCACCCTAAGTCCACCTCAGCGCAGCTGGGGAGGAACTGGTGGGGCCATGGAGGGAGAGGGAAGGACCCCCCAGGGCAGCTGCTGCTCCTGCTCATCCTTCCCTCTCCAAACAGAGGAGGAGAAGTAACCCCACTGAGCACCCATCCTGCACCACCATCTATGCTGCAGCCACTGGGCAGCCCCTGGACAAGGTCCCAGGTCCCAGCAGAGCCCCAAGCCCCCCATCCAGCTCCCCAGGACAGCCACAGGTAAGTGGGAGATTTGGGGGGTGGGATCCTCACCCCAAACTGGGCACCTCTGTAGGGCAACCTGGGGAGACCTTAGAGCAGCTCCCAGTGCCTGAAGGGGATCCAGGAAACATGGAAATTGGGTTTAGTTGGCAAAGATCATCCAGTCCAACCATGAAACCCAATCTCCTGGTGCTGAATCGTGTCCCTCAAGGCTTTGAAACCCCTCCCAGGGATGGAGATTCAACCACCTCCCCGGGCAGCCTGGGCCAGGGTTTAATTCCCCTGGGAGGGAAGAAGTTTCTCCTAAGATCCAGTATCCAGGAAAGACAAACTGGGAGAGTTGGGGTGTTGAGCCTGGAGAGGAGAAGGCTCCAGGGAGACCTTAGAGCAGCTTCCAGGGCCTGAAGGGGCTCCAGGAAAGCTGGGGAGGGACTTGGGCCAAGGGCAGGGAGGGATGGGATGAGGGGGAGGGATGAAAAGTGGGAGAGGGAGCTGGAGGTTGGAGCTGAGGAGGGAATTGTGGAGTGTGAGGGTGGGGAGAGCCTGGGCCAGGTTGGCCAGGGAAGCTGTGGCTGCCCCATCCCTGGGGGTGTTGAAGGGCAGGTTGGATGGGGCTTGGAGCAGCCTGGGCTGCTGGGAGGTGGTCCTGCCCATGGGGGGGTGGGACTGGCTGATCCTGAAGTTCCCTCCAACCCAACCCATCCCATGATTCCAACCTCCTCTCCATCCCCTCACCCTTTCCTTCCCTGCTCTTCCCCGACAAGGAACCCACCACAGTCTATGCCTGTGTGATGATGCCCTTGGCCTGAACCTCTCCAGGAAACAACCCAGCCCAGCCTCTGCTCAACCAACATCCACATGCCTGGCTGGAGAAAAAAAAACCCTCCCATCCCTAGGGAATGGGGACAAAACCCACCAGCAACGTGCCAACCTCCACCACAGCCAAACTGGGGCTGCACCGTTGGCCACGGAGGTGAGGGACAGTTGGAGCCAAGAGCAAGAAAACTCCCCAGGGGGTCTCAGCGAGGGGTGAAGCACCAGGAGAGGCTTTGAGGGGCTCTGGGGAAGACCCCACAAACCCACCTCAATCCTCTGGCCCCGGCTTCTCTTAGAGGGAACCCCCAGCTGGTGGCAGCAGGTGACACAGGTGACACCCTCAGCTCTGTGGCTTCTAGGGGAGCAAAAACAGAAGAAGGTGTGTTGTGGTTTTTTTTTTGCTTTGGATCTCTCGACTTCTGCTCCCCCCAAATCGGTTCTGAAAAGGTCCCAAAGGAAGGCAGAAAGTTCTGGAATCCCCTCAGAGCTCAGCCCTGCCCCAGCTCCCAGGGAACCAGCAACATCCAGGGTGGTTTTTCCATCCCCACCCTTTCTCCTGGATGCCTGAGGGAGAAGGAGAAGAACTTCCAGGTGGACAATTTCAAGCTGAACTTCTAGCTGAGAGGGGGAGGCAGCCCCCCCATCCCACCCCCCACCTCCCTTTTCCTACAGCAGCTCCCTGGGGAAAAACCCCACGTGGAGATGCTGGAGGGGACCTGGAGGAGGGACCAGAGCTGGGAACTCTTCCCCAAACCCCTTTTCTCCCACTCCAAGCTATTTAAGAATCCCACCAGCAGATCTGAGGTGTTTCTGCTGAGGGGAAAAAAAGGGAAATAAATTCGGAGTGAAGCCTTTTGGAAGGGTTTGTGTCAAAGGGCTCGGATCCGGATTCGAAGAGGGGAAGAGAAATTTTGGTTTTGAAGCTTCTCAGCTTCCTGGTTTTGTTGCTACAGAAGATCAGCTGAGCTGCTGCCTTGGAAAAGTCTGTCCCCAAAGCAGGAACTTCCCCCGGGAGCAGGGGCAGTTCCAGAGAAGGGGAAGGTCCCCCTTGTCCTGGTGCCTCTGAACACAAAGCTGAGGTTGGGAGAGTTGGGGGGTTCAACTGGAGAGGAGAAGGCTCCAGGGAGACCTTAGAGCAGCTTCCAGGGCCTGAAGGGGCTCCAGGAAAGCTGGGGAGGGACTTGGGCCAAGGGCAGGGAGGGATGGGATGAGGGGGAGGGATGAAAAGTGGGAGAGGGAGCTGGAGGTTGGAGCTGAGGAGGGAATTGTGGAGTGTGAGGGTCTGGAGAGCCTGGGCCAGGTTGGCCAGGGAAGCTGTGGCTGCCCCATCCCTGGGGGTGTTGAAGGGCAGGTTGGATGGGGCTTGGAGCAGCCTGGGCTGCTGGGAGGTGTCCCTGCCCATGGTGGGGTGGGACTGGATGGTCTTTAGATCATGGGATGGTTTGGGTTGGAAGGGACCTTAAAGACCACCCAGATGATCCACTAGATGATCTTGAAGGTGGCTGCTCCATCCCTGGAGATGTTCAAAGGGAGGTTGGATGGGGCTTGGAGCAACCTGGGCTGGTGGGAGGTGTCCCTGCCCGTGCAGGGGGTGGGATCTAGATGATCTTTCAGGTCCCACCAACTCAAACCAGGGTGGGTTTCTATGGTTCAACTGATGCAAAAGCCCCAGACTCTCTGCCTGGCTCTTGGTTTGTGGTCGGCTCAACCAGCTGAGCCTGGTTGGTCCTTGCAGAGTGATGGGTCACCCTGAGATGTGTCACCCCAGCATGACCAGTGATGGTGCCACCCCGTGGCTGGGAGGGGGTGTCAGATGCTCCACTTGGGGAAGAGTTCAAGTAAAAAAAATACTGCTAAGAAGACCTTTGCAGAGGAGCTCTGAGCCACGAAGCCACAAAACCCCCCCCAGCTCCACAATGAAGACTGAAGGAGCCCAGGGAGGTTATGGGGTGGCTTGTTCCCCTTGTGTGGCTCTTGGTGTCTCTCATCCCCTCCCAACCAGGATGTTGTGAAAGAGAGAACCCATTTTTAGGCTCATCAGCTTCGTTGGTACGTTGGGATTGAGCAACTCAGGGCTTGTGGAGCTGCTGGAGCTCATTTTACAACCCTGAGGAGCCCCCAACCTTCACTGGGCTGGAGGAACTGGGGCTCTTTCCAAGCCCCAACCTTCACTGGGCTGGAGGAACTGGGGGTCCTTTCAAGCCCAAGGTCCCCAGCTGCTCCTGAGCTCTTCCCCCACCTGCATCTCATGATGACGACAGGGTCACACCACTACCCTGAGTAATCTGAAATAAGGAACCAGCTCCTTTCCTACATTTGTCCTTCAGCTGTCCCTGCTCCAGGGGTGGGGGGTGGGACAGTCTGGAGCCCTGGAGATTTTGGAACCTCATGGCCCTTCCCAAAGATGCCCTGGTGACACCCACGGGCACCATCAGTGTGGTCTCCATGACTCCCCCTTCTCTCAGGGCTGGTTCCCACTGTGGACGTGGTTCCCACTTGTCACCCGTGGCCACCACAATGCTCTTGGTCCCAGCTGCTCTGCCCATTTTT